ATTTATATGTTTATGTGTCTGTACGTATGTGTATTTATATGTTTGTGTTTGTATGTATGTGTATTTATATGTTTATGTGTCTGTACGTATGTGTAATACCAATGGCTAAAGAGAAAGCGGTGAACTTGGTAGGGAAGCAGGACAGGAGGGGGAATGATGTAATTTTGTTTTAATTAAATTTTTAAAAATTATTTTCAATTTACAGTTACTTAAAGCCCCTCTGAAAGCATGACTCATAAAAGTCTAGCATACAGTTCAAAGTCCTAGTTTTTCATGTTTATTTACCATGCTTAGTTAGAGCTGCTCAGAATCTTTTGCCAAATTAATATATATATATATATATATATATATATATATATATATATATATATATATCCATCCATCCTAGATAAGTCCTTTATCCAGATAGGTAATTTAAGAGTGAAATTTTGTAGCAAGTCATCACGTTTCCTGTGTGTGTGGGTGGGATACTGATGCAGAGGTCATCCAGAAATGTTATTTATTCCTCAGAAGCCATCCACCTTACTTTTGTACACAGGGTTTTCTCACTGGGGCCTAAGGCAGGTTAGGCTGGTGGTCAGCAAGCCCAGGGATCTGCTTGTCTCCACGTCCGCAGTACTGGATCACAAGCCTGCATTCCCACTCAGGCCCTCCTGACCCTCTGTTTCCCCAGCCCCACCATTCTGCTTTTGTAGATCACCTTTTTAATAAATATTAATCTTAATCTGACCTTTTTGTTGTTGTTGTTGTTTTGAGACAGGGTTTCTCTGTGTATCCTTAGCTTCCTGGAATTCACTTTGTAGACCAGTCTGGCCTGGAACTCACAGAGATCCATCTGCCTCTGCCTCCCAAGTGCTGGGATTAAAGGCGTGCGCCACCACCACCCAACTTAATCTAGCCTTTTTGGTTAAGATTATTTCTATGAGTAGCATTGGTCTGTGAATATTAATGCCAGTTTGCATTCTTTGAATAAACCCAACTCCCCAGATTATTTTTTGTAATTTTTCTAAGGTTTCTAGTCAAGTTTTAATATCAGAAGTGTTTTGTTAGTCTTGGTTTATCAGGATCACTAGTCTGAACACCACATTGAAAACCTTCCTATTGTAAATACTTCTGGGCCTGGAGTTTACCTTGCTCAGGTCCCCCTCTTTTCCTTCTCCATCTTTAGTTTGAGATAAGATCACATTACATAGTAGCCTAGGCTAGCTTCAAACTCATGACCCTCAGCCCAAGCTTCCTGAGTATAGACACTTTTAATGATGGAATCAATTTTTTTAGAAATACAGTACCGCTTGATCACTGCTGCTTTGGCCATTTTTTTCCCCCTCAGAATTCTGTAATATGCTGGCATAAGGTTTTAAGATGTTTATTATTTTTAATTTCATGTAAGTGCATGGGTGCAAATTCCCACAGAGTCCAACGCAGAGTGTCAGATGCCCTGGAGCTGGAGTGACAGGCATGGTAAGCTACCCAGGATGGGTGCTGAGAACTGAACTCAATCCTCTTTGAGAGCAGTATGTACTCTTAACCACCGGGCTATCTTTCCAGCACCAGTTATTCTTAATGTCCCCTTACTGTTTTTAAATGTTCACAGACTCTATAGCCTTTTTAATTCATGCTAGTCTTTTGAGAAGCTTACATGTTGTGCTGGATAGTGTTGTATCCACATGGCAACACAAGATAGAGTTATCTGAAAGGAGGAACCTCAGTTGAGAAAATGCCCCCGTAAGATCCAGCTGTAGGCATTTTAGACATGAGAAACAAGCCAGTAAGCAGCACCCCTCCATGGCCTCTGCATCAGTTCCTGCCTCCAGGTTCCTGCCCTGTTTGAGTTCCTGTTCTGGGTTCCTTCAGCGATGAACTACAGTGCAGAAGTGTAAGTCCAATAAGCCCTCTCCCCGACTTGCTTTCTGGCCATGGTGTTTGCTGCACTGCAGCAACAGAGACCCTAACTAAGCCATTTATTAATGACTTTTTAATAACTTCTGGCTTTAATTATTTCCAGTGTACAGTGACCATCCCAGGGAGATGGCTCAGCAAGTAAGGACATTGCCTAACCTGATGACCCAGGTTCAATCCTGGACCCACTGACTCTGAAATGTTGTCTACTGACCTCCACATAGGCTATGGTGTGTGTGTATCTCACACACACACACACACACACACACACACTCTCTCTCTCTCTCTCTCTCTCTCTCTCTCTCTCTCTCTCTCTCTTTCTCTAAAACAAATATAAAAAAACAGTATTTTTTAAAACGGTCAATGTCAAGTTATATGTATTTTACCTCAAAACACGTGAGGGGGTCGTTTGTTTAGTTTTTAATTAGGCAAAGAACAAATGAACTTTCTGTCAGCAACCACAGAACTACGGTCTGAGAGTGACAAGCAGTAGGAGTGTGGTCTGCCACGGTAACCATTCTGTATTCCAGTGTGTATCCGAACACACCATCTTTATTTCAGAGGCTTCTAGAGCGTGCTAGTCATGAGAGGAAAGCCAAGATTTCGATTAGGGGGGTGATCTCAAAAACCTCATGCTTAATTAACGTGGAAGCACAAAAGGCATTTCAAAGTGCACAGTGTAAAGGAATGGGCTTCTGTATCACACAGTTCATTCTTTTTTCCTCAAAAGACATTTCCCCAAGGGCTGAAGATGTGACTCTTGCCCAGCGTGTACAAAAGAGAAGGGCAGCCACAAACTTCCCCAGTGCACTTCAGATTCACAGGGCATAGGCCACTTTTCATGCTGAAAGACAAGCAGTTGCTCACACTTCTTTCATTCTTGCTCAGCCAGTTTTGGAGTTTGTGTTTTAGTTTTCAGACTTCCACTACTGAGCCACAGATAAAAGCCCTTGATAGTAAGTATGAGGAGGTCTGGACCCCCGGCACCCATATAAACGCTGGGCAGTTGAGAGGGCTTGTCCATAATCCAGCATGTGAGTTCAATCCCCAACCAGACTCACTGAACTGGGAGTTCCAATTCAAGTGAGAAACTCCACCTCAACATATAAGGTAGATAGAGAGTGATCTGGGAAGCCACTAGAAGTTACTCTCTGGCTTCTACATGTATGTTCACATGTGTACGTAAAACTACATACTTGAGAATATGCATACATACAGATATGCAAGCAAATTAGACACACACACACACACACACACACATGCACACAAGCAAATGCAAAAAAAGTTGCAAAGTAAAAATTCATATATATATCTAATAATTGGTAATTTAAAGAGACTCTGAATCATTCCTTTGAGGCAAACAGGTTACACAGAACTCAAGGACTAAGGGGTTCAAACATCCAAAGTACCAGTACTTAGAACTCAGCATCTGATGACTGACTAGCTCTAAGAAGTGGCCATCCAGCAGCCCAGACAGCTAGAACCTGTTCAAGGAACCTGTGGCAGAGTGTCTGAAGAACCAGCAGGAGAGGAAGACAGGGACCAAGGAGGGAGGGAGGAAAGGGAGACAAACTGTCTTTATCTAAAACCCCAACGAAGATCAGCAAGGCAGCTTAGAAACTGCAAGTGGAAATTCAGAACACTAGTTTGGGCCGTGATTAAATTAAGTACCATGGCAAACCTAAGAAAAGTACAGTTTTCCATTCTCCATCGATTAAACACTAAATACGATCTCTAGTGCTGGGCATGATGACAAGGGCCGCGGTCCAGCACAAAGCAGCTGAGGCAGGGGGACTGGCATAAGTCTGAGGCCAGCCAGGGATACACAGCAAAACCCTGCCTGCCTCAAAAACACAAAACCAAATCGTCAAAGTCAGTCCTATAATTTGAACATTATTTCACATTTTAAAAATTGTAATAAAGGCCAGGCACGGCACATATTTTTAACCTGTTCCTCTGGAGGCAGAAGCAGGTGAATCTCTGTGAGTTTGAGGCCAGCCTGGTCTACATAATGAATTCCAGGACAGCCTGAGCTAACTAGTGAGACTCTGTCTTGAAAAAAAAAATTGTAACAGCAAAGACATAAGCAGAATGCTTGATTGAATTTGATATTCTTACCTTAGATTGGTCAAGGATTTGAATTTTCTCACATACTATTTCAGATTTTTTCCAAGGATTATTCCATTTTTGAGAAGCTTCTTTTTCTTTCTTCTTTAAAGCAACCTGTTCATCTGTAAATAATATCCTTTTTTAAAAATATGTACAAAGACTGTAAAAAAATCATTTAAACAAATCATGACCTTCTTCAAGAGTACAAACGGCAGCAGTTAATCAATGTTGTTTGCTTGGGACAAGATGACTCACAGGCAGAAAGGAACTTTGAAGGGTATGGGATAAAACACTGAATCAGAATCAATCTCAAGTTCAGCACAGACAGAGAGAAGAATGTCATTATCACAGAGATCAGTAACATAGAACAATCTCTCAGAACACCATTATGCTAGCCACTCTGCAGGTCTACCATCCTAGGTTATTATTACTAATGGACTTAGAAGGTACACAGCCACACTCTTTTGGTCCACATCAAGCTCAACCACTTCCTACCTAGGTAACAGACAAACTGCTATTTCACTCGCTAAACCTTGGTTTCTTCTGTAAAACTGAGTCATAGTATTGTCTCCTTCAGTGGAGAGTCTAGCACAAAGTAAGGATGTTAGTTAGTTCTCACTCATTGTTGAAAGTGAAACAGGAACTGAAACTATGGGCTGCTGAGATGGCTCACTGGGTAAAGGCACTTGCCACCAAGTCTGACAACCTAAATTCCACCCCAAGACCCACATGGTGGAAGAAGAGAACTGACCCTTACAGACTATTCCCTGACCTACACACACACACACGCACACATTGAACTATTTTTTAATAAAGCCATACCGCAATCCACAGGATTTCTACAACAGAAAAACATAAATAGAAAAGGTTTAGGAATATTTGCAGGGCTCCAAAAGGATGCTATGGCACATTGCTTTTGGTGCACACTGAATGGCACCAAAGACACAAGGCAATGTGAAAGCCCAAAGCTTCTTAGGAGTCTGCAGAGAACCACAGATGTTACATGTTATCAAACAAGACTTGATAATATACTGAAAGATAACTAAGCATCCTACGAGCCAACAAACCTATATTATCAATAAATTACCTAGCTCTTTTTTCCACTGGGCTCTTCTTGCTTCCAACAAACTTCTATCGCGCTCCCGTTCCCCCAGAGTACTGAATATGTCCGCTGGCTTCCACTCCTTCTCTCTAAGATAAAACACACACATGAAACCCAGGAGCCTTATCATTATGCTTCCCTGTGACTGACTATAAATAGCCAAGTATTCAGAGCACTTCACATGCAATGGGCAAGCAAATACATATTCTCCAGATACCCCAGAAACACATGTGAGTCACATACATGGCAATTTTCTGCTCACACTGTTGAAATGCCTCTTGAGTTCTACTGAAGACATGCTTATTTTCATTTGAGACAGGTGAAATAGCCTCCGTTTTCTGCAGTAATCCTGTAATATTCACATCCTTTGGCTGGCTAGGAATACTGATTAAATGTAAACTATCTTGACCTAGGAAATAAAATGCATGTTTTAAAATCATACCTATTATATAACACCTCATTCTAATATACTCCTATACAGTTGAAAGAAAAGTCTTAGCAGGCATGATGGCTCACACCCATAACCCTCAGGTACAAATTAGGAAGCTGGGGCAAGAGGATCACTGAGTTTGAGGCTGGTCTGGACAACACACAAGTCCTCAGCCAGCCTAGAATGCATAGTGAGACCTTGTCTCAAAACAAATAAATAAATAAAAATAAGGAGGTGTTGTTGGTTGTTTTTGCTCTTTGCTCTTTCGGGGGCCTGCCACCCAGCTCCCAGATAAATTACATATGGAGACTTATTCTTCATTATAAATGCCTGGCCTTAGCTTGGCTTGTTTCTTGCCAGCTTTTCTTAAATTATCTTGTCTACCTTTTGCCTCTGGGTTTTTTCCTTTTCTTCTGTATATCTTACTTTCACTCTTACTCTGTGTGGCTGGCTGTGTGGCTGGGTTGGCCCCTAGCATCCTCCTCTCCTCGTTCTCTTGCTCTTTCTCCTTTTCTTCCCAGATTTCTCCTTTTATTTATTCTCTCTGCTTGTCAGCCCCACCTATCTTTTTTCCTGCATTGCTATTGACTGTTCAGCTCTTTATTAGATGTTTTAGAGAAGCAAAGTAACACAGCTTCACAGAGTTAAACAAATGCAGCCTAAAAGAATGCAACACATCTTTGCATCGTTAAACAAATGTAACACATCTTAAAATAATATTCTACAACAGAGACGTACAGAGGTGCAAACTTTTAGTCCCAGCTCTCAGGAGGCAGAGGCAGGCCAATCTCTGTGTTTCAGGCCAGCCAGGGCTACATAGTGAGACCCTGACTCTTGGGCATGATGGCACATACCTGCAATCCTGGCACTCAGCAGACAGAGCAGGAGAATCAGGAGTTAAAGGCCACCTCGGGTACATGAGGGCGACTCAAAAACAAAACCCGACAGGCTAGAGTGCAGCCTGGTCATTAGTGCCTGCCGCACATGAACACAGCCTTAGGCTGACTCCCAGCACCATATAATCCAGCACATGGTGCAAACCTGGAGCGGGGCACTGGGAGGTAAGGGCAGGAAGACTAGTCGGAGTTCAAGACATGATTTTCACGTTTTGAGATGGTACTGGTAGACTGAGGCTAGCCTGACCTACATGAGACCTTACCCTAAATAAATAATCAAGAGAAAAGAGAAAAATTGTGACCCAGAGATTAAATAGCTGACTCCTGGCTATAGTCATACAACTTTTTAAATGAAATAAAAAAGAAAACAAGCAAAATCAGAAAAAACAGGGCTGGGAATACCAATGAGCTTGCCTAGAACACACCAAAACGCTTGCCTCATGCCAACCCAGTCTGTTCCATCCCCAGCACTGGATGAACCACTAAGGTGGTGCATACCTGTGTCTCAGTACTCAGGAGGCAGAGGCAGGAAGATGGAAGTCCAGTCTTCAGCTCTGTACTGAGTTTGAAGCCAGCCTGGTTACATGAGATCTGTCTGGTGAAACAAAACAAAAAACCTCCATTCACTCTTGCCAAAATAATTTACATTTATAACTTAATTTATACAATTTAAAATTACATGTAATTTGTAATTTGTAATTATAATTTGAAATTATAATATAAATCACAACATAAAGAGAGGCAAATGCAAATAGTTTAATAAAAACCCATGACCTCCCATGAATAAATAGAGGAGGAATGGATTGGGGGGGGGGACAGAGAGGGGATGGAGAGAGAGACTGGGAGGAGAGGAGGGAGGGGAATCTGTGGCCGGGATGTAAAATAAATGAACAAATACATTGATTTAAAAACAAAACATCCATGACCTTGTTTTTCTTCTTTACCTGTGGGAGTTTTCCGTGAACTGTGGTCTATGTGCCTCAGCTACCATAACTAAACCAAGTGTTGTACAGAACGTTCATACTCTAGTTTACAGTGTTGTGATTTCTCCTGAATGTGCCATTTCTCTCAGAGAGGGAGCATCCAAAATGCAAGTTACCTCAGGATTACGTAAAATGTCTTAACTTCTCTCACTATACCTCGCAGTGAGATACAGTTCTGAACTACAATTCTAGCCTAAAGAAAGCCAACTTCTTCTATTTTACAAATAATAAAGACTGGGAGAAGGAACTGCCCGTGAACATGGGGGAGCATACAGCAGTTACCCAGTGCCCACGTGAGTCACATGACCCTTCCATGATCACTGCCGTTTTACTGTCGCTTCACTACACCTGATACACTTGTGGCATTCTGAGTACTTTCATGGTCAAAGCTGAAATGAGGTTTTTACAACATGACCCTGGTTAGTGAGGGGAGCGCCTACAGATTCTCCTATAGATAAACCTGTTTCCAGTGGCGAGAAGGGTAGAGCCAGCCTCAGCTGGTCGGAGGGAAGGACGGGAAGCTTGACTAGCACCAGAGCGACAGGTTTCACAAGTCAAGTCTCCTCCACAGCAGGGCGTTCTTAAGATTCACTTCAGTCTCCGAGGCTCATCTTTGTAAACACTTGTGTGCCATTTTTTTTTGTTATTGAAATGGGATCCCACTCTAGCTCAAGCTTGCCTCAGTCTGCTGAGTACAGGGATTACAGGTTTAAACCCCATAGCGGGCTTATATAAATACTTTAACTGCTGAGCTATCTCTCCAGCCCCAAAACCAGATATTTTAAGATTATTTTGAGGCCAGGCATAGTATAAGATGCTTTTAATACCAGCACTCAGGAGGCAGAGGCAGATGGATTTCTATGAGTTTAAGGCCAGCCTGGTCTAAGTACTAAGCTCCAGGTTAGCCTGGGCTAGAGAAAGAGACCCTGTCTCAAATAAATAAATAAATACATACATACATACATACATACATCTGAGCATTAATCTTAAAATATGGCAAGACTATAAAGCAGTTTTACATATTTTATGTATAAGAAAAAGCCTAATGTGAATAATAGCTTAATAATGTGAATAATAGTTTAAGATTACTGCATGTGCCAGGTGGTGTTGGTACACACCTTTAATCCCAGCACTTAGGAAGCCAAGGCAGGAGGATCTCTGTGTTTGAGGCCAGCCTGGTCTCCAGAGTGAGTTTCAGGACATACCCCTCCCCCCCCAAAAAAAAAAAAAGATTACTGCATGTTAAAGCAGATTTAAGACACAGTCATAAATGCAGCCAATGAATCTGAAATTCAAAAGCACACACTGGGAAAATGAATAGTTAACAAAGTTTAAGAAAACTCTTACTTGCTTCCTCCTCCTTTCCATTTCCAGTTAGGGACACAGATCCATTCCCTTGGTTGACACTCATCAAAATCTGCCGTAGTTGCTCTTGGGTTAGACACACCATGCTGCTGTCCATGGTTTTGGTGGGGTGTGTTTTGCAAGGCTTTTGTTTAGCCACTAGGCATTTATCTGCCATGTTCACAGTCTTCTGTATGTCAGAGGTTGCAGGTGAAGACTCTTGTGGGAAATGATGGCAGTCTTTTTCTGCATACTGCTGATATAAATCCTTAGAGGGTGAAAATGGCAATCTAATTTTCTCAGGTTTTGCCTGTGAAGTTTCTGAACTAATTATCTTCTTTTGAGAAATGTTTTCACTCCCAATGTAAGAATTCTGTGTTGATTTTAGAATGTGTCCAGTCTGTTTTATTCTTAAAGGACATTTTGCAATCTTGATCTTATTTCCCATCTGTTAAAACACAAGTTCATTCTTTATGACAGTGTATGAAAAAACCTGACATCATTTTTGTCTGGAGACACAATATTGGTATGCAGCCTAAGCTGGCCTTGATCCTCTCACCTCTTCTGAGATTGCAGGTATGAACCACTACACCTAGCTAACAATCCTATTTATTCTTAAAATCTGTAATAAATCAGGCCTCTAAACTTTTCATTTTGCTATTAATTAGATACTACAGCCATAAACTATTGTTTACCTTTGCAGACTTTCACTTGAAAGCCTCGACAATGAGAAATTATTTTAACTCCAGATAATAAAGAATACAAATAAAGTTGTATCTTATAGGTCATCTCCATTCTATTCCAGCTTTGAATTTTCTATCAGTAAATTATATAACTTTGAGGTTACCAGTCCTTATCCCTAGACTATCTTAGCTGCTTGGTCACCCACTCTCCAGTTCCAGTCCTGTGCTAATTACTGTTGTGTTCACATCCACAGAGATGTCCTTCTCCCCTTCTAGTCACTTCCTCACACTCTTCCTATATTCATCTCCATATAGCCTCACTCACCTGCAGTGTCCCTGGTGTCCTACTGTGACCCCAGTGATCGTATACTGACCCTGTAAGGACCCACGACTGCAAGCTCTCTCCATTCTCAAGTTCTAGATAATGACTATCACCTCCTGTTTTCCAACTCATTCTCTCCCACATCCCAATTCTAAGTACTGTTTGCCTGTGCTGGGATCTACTAACACCTCCCCGCTTGTTCATTTCCTTCTTAACAACCTTAGATGCCACCACCAACTAGGATCACTTCTTTCCCACTCTTTATTCTGCAGTCTGTCATACATACCAAGCACACCCCTCACCCTGTGTATTCCTGGCTTTAGGTTTCAGTTGTTTTTAAAATTATGTGTGTGTGCCTGAGTGTACGTTTATGTATCATATATGTGCTGGCTCACCGAGGTCAGAAGAAGGATTAAATCCCCTGAAACTGGAGTTATAGATGGTTTTGTGCCACCATGTTGCAGGGGCAGTCAATGCTCTTAGCTGCTGACTGTCTCCTTAGCTTCTGGCTTCGGGTTTTAGATAACAGCAGCATCTGAGTACCTTTCTGCCTTTGCATCCCTGGAGCTTTTTCAATATAACTGTCTAAATGACGGGTGACAAATTAAAACATGTCCCATAAGTTAGACCAGACAGACACTGGCATGACCTCAGGGGCATTGTTCTCATCTAAAGGATACTACCATATTTCCCAGCGATGCCGCACTGCTATACAGGAATAGAGCCTAGCGGGAAGATCTTCCCAGAGTTCAAGAAAACTAAGAATGCCAGATTTTAGAGTCTCATTTTTAGACATAACAAGTCATTTCAGAGCCAGGTGTGGAGGTGCACACCTTTAATTCTAGCAGTCAGGAGGCAGAGGCAGGCACATCTCTGCCAGTCTAAGGCCAGCCTGGTCTACATAGTGAGTACCAGGATTGTATGGAGAGACCTTGTCTCAAGACAAAACACCCCAAATCCAAGTCATTTCAGTTTTTCAAAAGTCATTTTATCAATCACATTATCAACATACTGCCCATGGCTCAAGCAGGTGACTTCCACCTACACCCCAGCTCCTCTCCAACTGGCATTCTCCTCTTCCTGCTTCCTGCTTCATGAGCCTTTGTTGTGTCACAGTCATCAGTTCTGTTCCCTAAACATGTCTCATCCCCACCGCTAAGTGTGGTGCACTCCCGTAAACGCTGTTCAAAGTCATTTCTGGCTACTTTCACCCCTGTAGCCACCATGTAGTTCAATGCCTTACAGGTGCTCCTCTGACTGCTGGTAACTGACAAGTAACCAGTTTTCCTGTTATGATAAATTTCTGGTTGGGGAGATGGCCCAGTGGTTAAAGAGCTTGCCCTGAAACTGTGAGGAGCAGTATTTGGATACTCAGACACACATGCATGCTGGGTGCTTATGGAGGCCCACCTGTAAGTCCAGTGCTCAAAGCAGAGACAGGAAGTCCTCCAGAGAAAGCTGCCTAGCCTGACTAGCTGGACTGGCAAGCTCTGGGTCCAACTGAGAGACCCCGTCTCAACATATAGAACCAATAGAAGTGTACATGTCATACGTGGAAACAGGGAGGGTCAAAATCACTTAACTTACCTTCACAGAAACTTTTGATTTATGCTCTACAAGAGAAAATAAAATTACTAAGCTATAAACCCAAACATATTAAGGCAGTGACGTTAAGTATTGTTTAAGATGAAAATACTGTCCCCGAAGCATTAACCTTAAGTTCCACCTGAGTATTTCAACTTTTACAATGTAGTGGTTCAAGTATTAACTTCCATTTCATTTTTACTTCAGTTGTCTTCCCAAGGTGAGACTGTAAACAGATGGTGGTGGGGAGCAGGCAAGCACCTTGATGGAGAGGACTGAGAAACTATACTGAGTTTAAAAACTACTACTAACAATATAGACCTTAGCAACTGTGGTTATTCTGTATAAATTTAACTGTCTCACACAAGAGTTTGTTTACATGCGAAGTACATAATTTTCTCAACTCTACCTGCATTACTTATTAGGCAAGAAGGTATGCTAACATCAAAATCATATTTCACATGAAATACATTCTATGAACCAAAAGTGACAGGAGTAATCACCGTCTCAATCTGACCTTACCTGGATAAATGTCAATTCAAACCCATTAATAGAAAAGCTTTTTCCAAGTGTCATTTAACTATCTTTACTGCAAGCAAAATGTCTGTCAAACTCTATGTTCTACATACAAACGTAAACATTTTAGACTTTCAATAACAGCATACCGTATGGAGACAGTATTAGTTTGGTTTTTCCATCCAACAATTCAGTTTCAAGCTTCAAACCATCTCTGCAACATAAAAGAAAATTGTTTTGACACTTTAATTAAACAGCAACCAGAAATATCTATATGAACCTTTGAATGTATATAGGAATCATGTGACCGACCATCACAGCAGGGGGTTTTGTTTCTTTAAAGTCATATAGCCTAGGCTGCCTTCAAATTCACTATGCAGGCCAGGCCAGCTTTGAATTCCTGCTTCTCCTGCCTGAACCCCCCTCAAAATAGTCTCTATATTTTAAAATATTTTACAAGGCTGGAGAGATGGCTATTCTCTCAGAGCAGAATCAACACTGAGGCTAACAACCACCTGTAATGCTCTCTCTGGCCTCCAATGGCACCACCCACACGAGGGGCCTACATGTCTATGACACCCATACACATAAAGTTAAAATAATGTTTAAAAAGTGTATTTTTTCAACCGAAGTGGAAAGAAAAAAAAAACACACACACACACACAGGAAAAGACTTTAACTTTTCAGTGAGGCAAGCATTTGTCATTTTTAACCTGACACCTGATTTTTGTTACTGGTAAAGAATAAAGTAATTATTACAGCAGCATCCTTTAACTTGTAGCTCTAAACCAAAAATTCCACGCTGCTACCAGAACTATTTACCACGGTATAAGACACTGATAAGCCATTTATTAGTTTTGTAATGGTTTCATGACTGACACATTCTAAGGGCTGGAAGCGCCTGAAAATAGTTGAAATGGTCACCAAGGTGATAGCTGCTTAAGCACAGAATTCCACCCAATTTGGAATATTTCACATAATACATGGTTGCTTTCGTGACTCTTTGTTTTTCCTATCATGATAAATGCATAATAAACTTTGGCTACTATGACACTTCACCTGTCAAAGGCACCAGCGTAAGGAAACGGTAAAAACTGCCAGCAAAACTTGTGTTGTCTATTCAGGTCATCATCAAAACTCCCCTGATGGGATTCCACACAGTATTTCACTGTTTTACTGGGGGGTAGGGGTGGGGGGGGGGGGAAGGATGTGTCCATGAACAGTAATGAAGACAGAGGGGCTGTTCAAGAGAAAACATCGAACCAAGCAATTAAGGGCGAGCGGGTTGAGAAAGGTCTAACTAGCAACGCTAAACCCAGTGTTGCTTTGGTAGAGGAATCAAAGTGCCTGGGTCTGTTAAAGGAAACAATCTGGGCGAGAGGTTAAGGCTTCCCAGTAGCAGGACTATGAAGAGCTCATGTTTACGTTGGAAGGCAACATCTTGAATGAAACTCAAGTTGCTAAGTCCCGTAAGCTCACGGTGCAGGCTGCCTCGTTTATCCCTCAACTCCCAGATGAGAACCTAACACTCGGCGGCTGGATGCGCGGTTGCGTCTGGGTTTGGTGGCCGGTCTCCCTACAATGCTGAACTGCTGAGATGATGATCCGCGCCCGGACTCGGTCCTGCCGCAGCTCAGGGTGCTCCAGCTCGGTGCAGAGCAGCTGGGGCGACCCGAGCATCCCGCACTCCCGGGCGCCGTCTCCCCTCCGGGGCTCCGACACCACTGCCCGTGCTGGACCCGGAGCCCGGCCCGCCTCTCCCGCGCCCGCCGCCACGCGCGGGCCACAGCCCGGCAGCCCACGGGGTCCCCGCCGGCTTACCCCAGGTTCATGGCCCTGGCGCCCACCCGCCGCTCTCTCAGGCCACTTGTGTACCCAGGTCGCCGGCGCCGCTCAACAAACGCTACGCCGATTGGATGCTGGGGGCCGGCCGAGCCAATCAGAGTGGCGCATGCTGGCGGGTGTGTTCGGCTCGACTCGGCCTCCCCGGACTCGGCGCGGTGAACGGGCGTCTGCGGTTCCCCAGGGTCGTCGTCGGTCTCTGAGAGTCGCCTTGGCTCAGATGGAGGTTTCCAAATAGACAGAAGCAACAGCTGTAACTGTGCTACTTCATATTTAGAGGGGAAATATATTTTCAGCACAAAAATGTTGAGAGCTTAGGGGCGCCCAGGGCACGTAGTGCGCGGCTGTCTCTTGCTCTTGTCTCATCAAGCCTTACATACTGAAGTTCTTTAAATACTGCAGCAGCAGTCCCAACATGGACCACACCCGTATACCTGTCATTAACAGCACTGTCCCCGGGGTACGAAGAGGCAAAGGGACTTGTGGTGGTGTTTATTTTTTTCTACTCTTTGGCTCTTTTTTGCTCTTTTAGGGGGCCCGCCACCCAGCTCCCAAATAAACCACACACAGAGGCTTATTCTTAATTATAAATGCCCGGCCTTGGCTTAGCTTAGTTTCTCGCCAGCTTTTCTTAGCTTTAAATTATCCCATCTAACTTTTGCCCCTGGGCTTTCCCCTTTTCTTCTATATATCTTACTTTCTTAATCAGAGGCTGGCTGTGTGTCTGGGTGGCTGGCCCATAGCATCCTCCTCTCCCTGTTCTCTCGTTCCTTCTTCTTTCTTCCTTTCTTCCCAGATTTCTTCTTTTATTTATTCTCTGCCTGCGAGCTCTGCCTATCTTTTCTTCTGCCTCACAATTGGCCATTCAGCTCTTTATTAGACCATCAGGTATTTTAGACAGGCACAGTAACACAGCTTCACAGAGTTAAACAAATGTAACAAAATAATGCAACACATTTTCGCATCATTAAACATATGTTCCACAGCCTAAACGAATATAACATTTCTTAAAATAACATTCTACAATAGAGTTGCCTGTGTCACTGACCACTGAACAATTAGACAACAGAGCCTATGTCTCTAGCTAATGTCTGAATAATCCTTGTCAATGCTTTGAGACTCAGTCAAAATTGTCACTTGTTGCTCTTCCAGAGGTGCCAAGTTCGGACCCCAACACTCATGCCAGGTGGCTCATAGCTACGTGTAGCTATGTCAACCCTGTTATTGAATGGGGTTGAGGGTGGAGAGCACATGCACATACACATCTTTAAAACCAAAACAACAAAAATTAAGAATGGCACTTCCTCAAGGAAGCTGCTGGGGGTAAAAGTACTTTCCTTCCCTCCTGCTGGGATCCCAAACACCAAATGTTGCTAGGGTTACTTACAGAGCATGGGGGAGGGGTTTCAGGCTGGAGCTTGGGTGAATCGAAAGTAACTACACTGGAAGGTCTGCACCCAGCATGAATGATGGCTTCTCCATGGCTGTGCATTCTTGGGCACCTGTTCCTTTGTCTCCCCAGAGCACACGTGTAAATTATGACAGCGCTGCATGTAATTGGCTGAGGGGGATGGGTGGATACTCAGGTGAGGGTCCCATGATCCTCCCTACCCACTCCTTCTATAAAGGTATAGTAGCTTGAATGTAATTGGCCCCCATAATCTCATAGGGAGTGTAGCGGAAACCAGAGACCTGGAACTGGACCAATGACTCTTCAATGAACACTTGGAAGCAAAGATCTATGGACAACGGGGTTTACTGTGTGACACACTGTGCCACACTGTAGCTTCCATGATGAGATTTTTATTTTTTTTCCATTTTGTTTTGTTTTATTGGGGGGCATTGCAGGGGCAGAGGGCAGATGTGAAGGGATGGGGAAATGAATGGGATCAAGATGCATGATGTGAAAGACTCACAGAATAAATAAAAAGAAAAGAAAAAGAAAAGCAGTTGAATGTTTTAAGTGCTGCTTAATGGGCCATACTAGTAGGAGCATGGAAGACTGGTGCTGAGTGTGTTTTGAAGAACTATGGGGTGCTCATTCAAGATGTTTCGAGGAGAAGAACGTTAGGGTGTTGCCTAGAGACCATTCTTGGGATATTTTGGTGAAGAAAGTGGCTGCCTTTTGCCCTTGTCTGGAGTCTGCCTGAGGTTAAAGTGAAGAGTTTTGGATTAATTCCGTTGGCAGAGGAAATCTCAAAACAGCATAGTATAGATTCTGTCTTGTGGTTTTTAGTGGTAACTCTAATGAGGATTTATAATGAAAAGGAACAAGCTGAGCAAGGTAAATTACAAAGTGAAAATTTTGAGGAGAAAAAGAACACTAGGAAGTGGAATAAAGCTAAATTCAAGGAGATAAACAGATTAGGAAATGGAATATAGGGGGTGGTGACCCCAGAGCAAGATTCCCAACCAGCTAAGTTTCCAAATTGTAAAAAGGAACTAAAGAAAAGCTTAGAGCCAGGTGTGGTGGAGCACACCTTTAATTCCAGCACCGGGAAGGAAGAGGCTGGCAGATCTCTGAGTCTGAGGCCAGCCTGGTTTACAGAGCAAGTTTCAGGACAGCCAAGCTTAGGCAGTGAAGGACAGAAAGCTGGTGAAGCTGTAATTGAACAAAGGGGCCATGTTCCAGGCCCAGTAAGCAGTAGAACGTGGTAGCTTTGGCCACATGGTTCTGGCTTTAGAGGTAAGGACAGAAGAAATGGCTTATAGAATTTGCTTCCATGCTTAAAGAAAGCTGCTGAGAGCTGGGTGGTGGTGGCACACGCCTTTAAACCCAGCACTTGGGAGGCAGAGGCAGAGACAGGCAGATCTCAGTGAGTTCGAGGCCAGCCTCATCTACAAAGCAAGTTCCAGAATAAGTAGGAATGTTACACAGAGACTGTGTCTGGAAAAACAAAACAAACAAACAAAAAGAAAGAGAGAAAGAGAAAGAAAGAAAGGAAGGAAGGAAGGAAGGAAGGAAGGAAGAAAGAAAGAAAGAAAGAAAGAAAGAAAGAAAGAAAGAAAGAAAGAAAGAAAGAAAGAAAATGAAAGTAAGCAAGCTGCTGAGGCCAGGCATCTGTCAGGGGTGTCCCTGAATAGAGGCCTAGTAGAGAGAACGTTGAGTGAAGCTGTGATGTTGAAGCCTGGATTGCCTTGGAGAATCCAAAATGTTAGAGATGCCAGAGTCGTGGGATACCTGCCTAGGAGAGCTGCTAATAGGGAATGGAACCAGCCCAAGAGGAAGAAGTGTGTTGCATTCACAAAGCTGAACAGAGTTGGAGATCTAAAGAGCATTTCGACATCAGACACGAAGATGCAGGGTTTGGAGTTTGCCCAGCTGTGTATATGTTAGCAATAATTTTTTTAACAAGGAAGCGATGTGTGAGTTCTAGAATTTACACATTTTTTGATCATTTGAGTTTTGTCCTCATTACAAGAAAAATACCAACCTGGACTGGAGAGATGGTTCATCAGTTAAAAAAATCACTTGCTGTTCCTGCAGAAGATCTGGTTCAGATCCCAGCCCTGACATCACAACCATCTGTAACTCCATTCCAAGGAAATATGATGCCCTCTTCTGGCCTTCTTGGGCACTGCGCACACATTATTCACATAAATACATGCAGATAAAGACTCATACACACAAAAAATAAAACTAAATAAATCTTTAATTTTTTTTTGAGACAGGTTTTCTCTTTGTAGCTTTGTGCTTTTCTTGGAACTCACTCTGTAGCCCAGGCTAGCCTCGAACTCACATAGATCCGCCTGGCTCTGCCTCCCGAGTACTGGGATTAAAGGCCTGCACCACCACTGCCCGGATAAATCTTTAATTTTTTTTTTTTAAAGATTTATTTGTTTATTATGTATACAGTGAGTGTTCGGCCTGCAGGCCAGAAGAGGGCACCAGATCTCATTGTAGATGGTTGTGAGCCATCATGTGGTTGCTGGGAATTGAACTCAGGACCTCTGGAAGAACAGCCAGTGCTCTTAACCTCTGAGCCATCTCCCCAGCCCCTAAATCTTTAATTTTTAAAGAAAAATTAGCAACAGTAAAGTACACAGATCTTAACTATATACAAATCTAAACATTTGAGAATTTTTGGTAAATATAAACATCCCTTTTTAAAATTTTAGTTATGCTTTTAAAATATATTTCACAAAATGTAGGAATTTGACATTTTGGAAGTTTTTAGGAATAGTCTCTGTTCCACAGAGTAAGGAATACTTTAATATCATCTTCTTAGTTTCTACTATGGTGTAAAAAATGTCTCGGAAAGAATGTGATATTCTTGGCACCTGGAACTAGCCTGGTGACTGTCCTTCCCATCGCGATGCTAAAAGGCTCCTTTCGCTTGTGAAAGGCATGTGGCCATGAAAGTAAAATATCCCTTTTTTAAAATATCATCACTTAAAAATATAAAACATTTTGTGACTTCAGAAAGTTCTCTTGTCCCTCTTTTTAATCAACCCTCACAGGTAATCATTCTGATTTCTATCAACAGAGAATACCCTAGCCTGTTCTATAACATTGTATCAGTGAGCTCATGCAGGGTATAGCTTTTGATTGAGGTCTTTTTCATCTAACCGAATAGTTGTGACTTCATTGTGTGTGACTAAGGTACCATTTCTATAGTCTATCAGACAAAGGGAGGGCACACATATCTCTCTGTAGAGTATTTTTGCTCCTTCCAACATTTATCCCTTTCCACAGGCATCGCTAAGGATGCTGCTGTTGGACTCTGTGGCTTTCTTTCTGGGGTTATGGCAGACTCCACATTACATCAGGCAATAAATGAAACCCAGCCTTGGAGAGCTGCACTTCAACATGAAAGGAGAGTGAGGTCAGAATTAGCATGTGTGCTGGCTAGTTTGATCAACTTGACACAAGCTGTAGCCATCTGAGAGGAGGGAACCAACTGAGAAAATGCCTCCACACGATAGGGCTGTAGGCATTTTCTCAATTAGTAATTAATAGGGGAGGGTCCAGCCCAGTGTAGGTGGTACCATTCCTGGGCTGGTGGTCCTAGGTTCTCTAAGATATCAGGCTGAGCAAATCATGCCTGAGGAGCAAGCCAGTACTCCTGC